AACCTTTATGAATTATTATTGGATACATTTGATCTGGTTCGGTATCTCGGAGATACATTCATGTTTATTGTTTGTTATTGACAATTAGAACATTGAATTGTTCTTGTGTTTTATTCCCTGTGTTCCGCTCTCTGCGTCCTCGTCGCCTTATTAGATCATTCTGCATTCTCTGGCACACAGACGCACATGTGGCGCGGACTCTGCGGCCCGTCTGCAGCGCATCTGGGGTGCAGCTTCTTCCAAGACACCCTCAAATCCACCCTCCCCCCTCCGGGCCGAGTACAGGGGCTCACCCGGAGCTGAGCTCACACTTTCCATCAGCTTTTCATCTCCAGCTCTCCCCATTTCCTGAGTGAGATTCCTTCCACTTCCTGTCACAGATTCCTATCACTTCCTGTCAGGCGTCCTGTTTATGGAGCTCGGCTGGGATTCTGGCAGGGAGTGATGATGTGTCCTCTCCCGCTACGTCCGCAGTACTGAGGGGACCGTGTGTAGGGGGGTTGGGGGAAGGTTGTCATTTAAATTCGCCCAACAGTGCTGCTCAAACACATGCGTTCGAATGCAAAAGGCTGCGTCTGCCCTCAATGTAAATGCATCTCTGCGTCCAGACGTAACGCAAAGCAGGTCAAACGCAGCCACTGAATGGTCACCCACATTGAAGTCACCTGGAATCTGCTGACGCGTTTTTGACGCGTGTCTCAGACGCCTGTGCGCTACAAATGAAACAATTGCCACGTTTCGGCTTTTCCTTCTTCTATCTCAGTGCTGCTGATCTCCTCCGCCCTTTGTGCAGCCACTTCCTGTCTACCTGCAGCGTCATCACCTGCACATCATTGGTCTGGACCGGCTTCCCGATGGAGACCATGAAGGAGCGTGCCTGAGCAATGTACATTAAGCGTGGCAACGCAGGTGCACAATGGGGAGACAGTTGTCACCCTGGCACAAGCACTTCATGGCGGGATCACCAGGGATTGCCTTGGGGCCCTTTTACACCTTGGAGCCCCGGCGCATTGCCCTCCGCAATATCACTGCCATCCGAGCAGCTTCACCGAGGGGCCCCCCCCGGCTAGGTTGGTAGAAACAAGAAGAGACCAAAGGCCGAGTGCCAACATCAACCCCACGGCATAGACCTCTACGGGCTTCTATTCTGCAGGTGCAGTCTGGAGGGCGAGGACCTGCGGCGCGGCGCGGCACTAGGAGCCAATCAGGTGCAGAATGCGCATGTGCAAACAGGGAACATGTTGATTGACAGGAAAGAGCAGAAGGGTGACCTATCCACCTGCTGCTCCTTCACCCTCCTATCACAAGCTTGGTGGGTGGGGGCTGACCAGGCTGTATTTCTCAAATGCCAAGTCACCAGCCTGGCTGTGCTGAGCTGTGTAAATCTCAGGACTGGATGTACGGGTGTAATCCATTGTGCCCGGTGGGGGGAAGGTGGAAGTCAGTTTTCTGTAGCGGTCTCCCTATCTATAGAGGATATGAACCGGGACTGAAGGTCGACATACAGATCATTCCATTGATTGCCGCACCATACCGCCATTCTACGCCAATTGCCAGATTTGCTGCCAATCAAGGCCACCATAGAGGTGCCGGGCGGCCCGACCTGTCGCGGGAATTACCTCGCGATAAATCGCTAAGTGTGAACGCGGCCTTAGGGGGGGTTGTGATCACATTCATCAATAGATAAATGGCCCATGTAGGTGCAAACGTGTTCACTTTATGGTCATTTCATACCACAAGGGGGCGCTCTCTGCATCCGGAGGATAAGAGGTTTAACCTCAGCATACGGAAAGGCTTCATCGCAGTAAGAGCAGGGGTAGGCAACGTTGGCACTAAGTCCCATGGAGGGGGGGGGGGGGGATGGCATAGCAAGAGTTTGATCGCTGACCTACTCCACCACAATAGAAACCTCCTGGCCCTGTACATGTAAAGCTTACATTAGGGGTAGGCAACCTTGGCATTTGGAACAACAAGTCCCATGAGGCATTGCAAGATTATGACAGCCACAGGCATGACTCCCGGAGGCAGAGGCATGATAGCATTTGTAGTTTCACCCCAGTCGGGGTGCCATGGTTGCCTACCCCTGCCTTAGTGGATGAGGAAGGGAATTTGTTTCCCCGTTGGAGATGGTTGGGCCAGGCTCTGTTAGAGTATCTGCCACCCTGTTGATCAGCTGTGGATTTCAGTGCGCTTGAACTTGATGGACACGTGACTACGATTATGCAGAATTCCCTTCCTCCTGTAGGAAAGGGAAGGTTCCCCCATGTATGACGCATGGGGCAGATTGCACATGTACGCACTCCCTGCAGCCTCGATCCCGGCAGTCATCAATCTGCAACTGGCTGCAGAGCCAGATCATCTACAAGTCAACCGAGGCAGGAGCCCGGGGCATGCTGGATATTCAGAGGGCCCAACTACGTCCTCCATGCTCCTGCTATTGGTTAAAGCTGAGCTCCTCCCCTTCATATCACATGGGAAGATAGACTTGTAGGCAGTTGGTGTCTGATGCCGGTACAGACAATGGACACGGGGCTTCTCTGTGCCGATTGCATTCCATATGGAAATGGATGGGGGAGGGGAGCTGCTACCTTGCCTAGGGCCCCATCCTGCATAAATCAAGGGCCAACCCCCATTCTTATAAATGCTGGAATTATTTTCATGAAGTTGAACTCCAGGCCGCTATAGACAGCAATTAATGCAGCTCTGCATTCAAAACAATATCATTAAATGTATTATTTAGTAGAGTACAGAGCAGAGTGACAGAGAGATGAGCTCATCACTGTGCTGCTACTTCCTTCACTGTCTAGTCACAGAGTGGGGGCTCGTCCGGGATGACTTGGGATCAAAGCAGGGCTGGAGTGTCAGAGGGAGAAGCAGCACAAGGAGCCATCTAATTCACTTGCTGATAGGAGTAGAAAGCAGAGTAACAGAGAGATGAGCTAATCACTGTGCTGCTTCTTCCTTCACTGTCCAGTGACAGGGTGGGGGCTCGTCCGGGATGACCTGGGATCAAAGCAGAGCTGGAGTGTCAGAGGGAGAAGCAGCACAAGGAGCCATTCGATTCACTTGCTGATAGGAGTAGAAATCAGAGTAGCAGAGAGATGAGCTCATCACTGTGCTGCTTCTTCCTTCACTGTCTAGTCACAGAGTGGGGGCTCATCCGGGATGTCCTGGGATCAAAGCAGGGCTGGAGTGTCAGAGGCAGAAGCAGCACAAGGAGCCATTCAATTCCCTTGCTGATAGGAGTAGAAAGCAGAGTAACAGAGAGATGAGCTAATCACTGTGCTGCTTCTTCCTTCACTGTGTAGTCACAGAGTGGGGGCTCGTCCGGGATGACCTGGGCTCAAAGCAGGGCTGGAGTGTGAGAGGGAGAAGCAGCACAAGGAGCCATTCAATTCGCTTGCTGATCGGAGGTGAGAGCAGAGTGAGCTCATCACTGTGCTGCTTCTCCTTTCACCTTCCAGTCACAGGTTGGGGGGCTCATCCGCGATGACCTGAGCTCAAAGGTAGTGAGTTGAATAATGCTGGCCATCAGACTGGGGACATCTAGGTGGTAGAAAAGGGGAAATCTCTGTCTTGAAGCTGAATATGGCAGCACAATCTGTTTTTGTTATTTCATGGTTTATTCGATTTGCTGTTTCTGGCTGGAGTTCTGCTTCAAGCCCACATGACCTGGCACAGTCCAACAACACAAAAAGAGGGGGGGGGGGGGACTCTTATTTATTATTATTAAGTTACCTATTTAATTACATTTTTTATTATGATTTTATTTTATTTTTTATTATGATTTTATGTTATTTATTTATGCCACTGGTGAGACTTCCCTTCACTTCCTATCCTGGAAACACAACAGGAAGTGAGAGAAAATCCCTCCAAAGTGAGACAGGCTGTTGTCCCCCCAACAAGTGTCCCCATTGGGAGATTTTGCCTCTGTTCCTGTTCTGGAGACTGTATTTTGTAATTTATATTTAATAAACTTTGATACAACTTTTATATATGCATGGATCATACTTATCTCTCCACAAACCCTCTTTCTTCCCCCTGTTTTCTATATACAATGTATTTGAGGGGGAGAGATAGTACAGGGAACCCATGTTGGGGCAATCCACAATTTTTATTCTAGTAATAAATAAATAATAGTACAAATTAAAACAAAAATTAGTCAATAACAAAATAAAGTCATTTACTGGAGTAAATGATGGTGTAAGTAAGTGATGATGGTGATTATTATTTTATTTACTATTATCCTATTTTTAATTATTGTATTTATTTTAATTCATTCGTGTATTTTATTATTTACTGATGTATTAGAAACATAATATATTATTTATTTGATTTTATTTATTATTTTTATATAGGTAAATAATAATATTATTATTATTATTATTTTTGGGGGGGGTCATTCACCAGGTACTTCGATTCGGCCCTTACCTCTCCACCTGCAGGGGCCCCGGAGACTTCAGCGTGTCCGACACCACCCAGTTCAGCCCGCTGATCCACATGTTCACCTCCTCCTCGCTGAACGCTGCCGGAAAAACACAGAGCGTCAATGTACAGCGAATGCGCGGAGAGTACGGGACACGAGAGCCACTCGCAGATCACAAAATGACTCGGCGCTGCCAGTGCACGGCGGACTCACCACTCCGCGGTGTGTAAATCACAAGACCGGCTAGACAGAAGCACCAAAATGTTTAGAATTCAGCCCTACGGATCATTCAACCTGCAGCAAGCCACTGTTTTTTATGATGCAACTGTTTAAAGGGACAGTCTAATGATTGTGTCCTTTCTGGGTATAACTCTCAGAGCTGGCGAGGTTACCTTCCAATCCTACCCTGTTGTCACCTACCCATGACAGGTTCACTTTAAATTATAACAAATGCCAAACCTTTTTTTAATTTTACTGCTCCGTACATCCCACTGCTGAGACTTCCCTTCACTTCCTATCCTGGAAACACAACAGGAAGTGAGAGAAAATCCCTCCAAAGTGAGACAGGCTGTTGTCCCCCCAACAAGTGTCCCCATTGGGAGATTTTGCCTCTGTTCCTGTTCTGGAGACTGTATTTTGTAATTTATATTTAATAAACTTTGATACAACTTTTATATATGCATGGATCATACTTATCTCTCCACAAACCCTCTTTCTTCCCCCTGTTTTCTATATACAATGTATTTGAGGGGGAGAGATAGTACAGGGAACCCATGTTGGGGCAATCCACAATTTTTATTCTAGTAATAAATAAATAATAGTACAAATTAAAACAAAAATTAGTCAATAACAAAATAAAGTCATTTACTGGAGTAAATGATGGTGTAAGTAAGTGATGATGGTGATTATTATTTTATTTACTATTATCCTATTTTTAATTATTGTATTTATTTTAATTCATTCGTGTATTTTATTATTTACTGATGTATTAGAAACATAATATATTATTTATTTGATTTTATTTATTATTTTTATATAGGTAATTAATAATATTATTATTATTATTATTTTTAAATGTAATTAATTTTTTTTCATGTATTTATTTAGATGTCATTTTATTATTTATTTTATGTCTGATTTTATGTTTTATTTTATTTTTTTATTTCTAAAAATTCCATACACAACAAGTGTCCCCGTTGGGAGATTTTGCCTCTGTTCCTGTTCTGGTGACAACTGTAAGTTTTTTGGATTCCCATCACTCTGTGTCAGTGCTAACATTTACCAACACGATGAGAGAGGGTGAATCCTCCCCATGGGGACACAGACAGCAATAAAACCTGACAGGGGCTCTAACCCAAAACAACAATAATAAATGTTGTCTGTGGATACACTTTGGGGCCCCCCGCGGCCCCTGTACACAACGAAAGGAAAATATTGGACTCTGTGGAATGTTTTATTGTGAAACTCGGAGCGGATAGACGCGACCTTCACTCCAGTTCTTAGCAAGTTCAAAGGTCGTTCACTGAATTTTTCGGTTCATTGAGTTTGGTCGGATGAGAAACAAAAAAACAACGATTAGAAAGTCAAATCCGCACGCAGGAGGCGGGGTCAGAAATCTGCCGATAATATTAATGAACCGCTTCACCCCTCCCCCCCCCCACCTTGCGTGCGGGGCGTATCGGGCGGCTCCCGGGGGAGGACAGGGGCTGCGTGTGATTAGTACCCAGCCCCCCGTCCTTCTCTATGGGACTACTATGATTTCCGGTTGTATCGTTTGGCGGTGGGGGGCTATGTAAGGGGAGGGGTGGCGGTTTGGGAAAGGCGGCCAATCTCCGAGGGAGCCGATAGCTTAGGCCCCATTCACGCTGAGCGATTTATGGAGCGATATCGCCCATATTTCCGCGCCACATCGCTCTATGCAGCTTCTCCAATCCATTTCAATGGAGCTGTTGACATCTCGTCGGTCAATATCGCTGGTAGCTCGTCGCTCCTACATGACCCTTTTTTCGAGCGATTTTGCTCCTGATTGCATACAGCCCAATAGGAAAAAGTTGCGCGACAAGTCGCTCAATATCGCTCGTCGCGCAATATCGCTCAAAATCGCGCGATTTTCATGTCGCTCAGTGTGAATGGGGCCTAACGCACACCAGTTATCCCCTCTTCGGTTCCTATCAAGGTAGGGATAGTTTCCCCTTTCAATCAGGCTACTATGCATTGTATATAGGCTCCAGCATGTTGGGCTCCGAGATGTATGTTGAGGGATTTATAGTGGGGAGGTAGATGTGGGGGGTTTGGGGATGTGGTTTT